CCATTCTCTATCTGAAATCACAACAATAGAAAAAGGAATATGTTCCCCACTCTTGAAGGAGTTTTGTATATTCATTATGGTTTCCTGTAAGGTATCATAATTCATCGAGTTCCCGATCTGCAATTCGAAAGGAATAAGCCTTGCATCACTTTCCTTAACAAACCAGATAACAGAGGATCGAGAAGTTCAACATGATCGAAAGAAACAGAGAACGTACCCTATGGTTAACCTGGACATGTTCTAACGTTCTTTGACTGGACATGAAGCTTGCCTTCTTCTTCTCTAATGGTACATCCGATAATATTTCCTGTATAATGCGGATAGCACACGAATAATCTAAATCTCAATCGAAGAAAATGTATCGGAGTTGTTTTTCATCAAGTGTTAAGGTCAAAGAAATAACATGTCGGAGAGAAAAAACACACACAATAAGTCTGACATGCAACCAAATGCAGACTTGAAGTTTTGCATTCAACTTAATGGTTCTGATTGAAATATGAAAAGAAGAAAAAAGTATACCAACAAGCTTCCAGGTCCAAGATAATTATCGTACTCTTCAATCATTTGTACAACATCCGGCCGCCACCCGAGCAAAAGTACGCATTCTTTAGGCCCTAGACTTTGGTCCAATGCCTACTTCAAAATCAAAAGAACATACAAGCTGACATCTGGGCATTCAATAGATGCTATCACTTGAGGAACTTATCTCTTCGGAAAACATACCTTTGCTGCTCGTCTTTTGGTACGTTTCATAATATTTAACATCCGCTCTTTTCTCAATTCTAAAGCATTCTCTACATTGTTTTCAGGAACCTCCAAATCTTTTGGCGTGTCGGTTTCATCTTTTATGACATCGGACAATGTAAGTTGTTTTGTTGTAATGTTAATAGGGGCAATTAACAATATCTACACGAATAAAAGAAATATACGTTAAGAAGTATGCAGATACGACCATGGAAGGACGCATAGAGTTGAAATTTCTGCAAAGCGGTTATGTTCAAACGAAATCTTGGCAAGTACTCATACTACTCCATGTTAAGAAATGGTCACAAGATAGTAAGATACGTTACTCGGGCTTGGATGTGTGTCGGGCACGGGTATGTTCAATTTTCTATTTTCAAGATTTTGAAGTATTTGAAGGGTTTTTGGAAGATCATATTCCCATAACCATGTCTAGATAAGCCTCGGACATAGATGCCGAACTTAAAAGTTTATATATATGAACATAACGTTCGAAAAGTAGTATAGTCTACTTACTTTGTCAGTTTGCTGTAGAATTTCATCATCTCTGGGGTGGAAAATATCTTACCATTCCGATAAACACCGCAAACAACAGCCTGAAAAGAAACCAACATAAGAAATGAGCGGAGTTCTTCATACCGACAATACCAAGTTTTAACACAAAACAATACCTTTGGAAACCTTGTCGTATTTGCATGTACGTCAACCCAGTTAGACTTGGAAAATGGTGAAGACTGAACACATTTTCTGCAATAACATGATATAATTAGTCTTCGAGTGGAAACCTACAACATAGTGTATAGACAAGAAATGAACCCATAGAATTTCTTTTACCAGTAAAAAAGTACCCTATGGAGAAACTACTAGACCAGTGAAATTTTGTAGGCCGAGCTTGTGTTCCTTTGACATTTAATTGTTATTTAAGTATCTGTATTCGACACCCTATTCGACACATATTTGAACATGGATGTGTGGATATGACCCTCTAAATACATTAAAAAAAACTTTTCCATTATCTTTCCGTCATCAGGAAAATAAAAGTTGTCAAAAAGAACTCATATCACACTTCGATAATTAAGCAAGTGCCTGTAGATCTTTATTAGCCCTTTTGCCGAGAACATTGAACAAATAGTTAGAAGCGACAGTTTCCACCGGCTCCACTTTCAGTCCGGAGATTGACTTCAAGAGCTCACATGTATTGGAATTCGAAACCTGCATTAAGAATGGCAAATTAAACGTGATGATCATAGAAAAAATATTTTGATCCTACAGTTTGCCAATGCATACCTCGACAATTGTGGGGATGGTTTCCATCTTGGGAATAGGTTGAAGCGCCAGTACAGAGAGAAATGCATCTGTATCAACTCCGAACCTAATCAGTTAAGTAATTGCGGTCACTAAATTTCCCTGAAGAAAATCTTATATTACGCACTAGTTAAAAATGTACATGCAAAAGAACTGGCCAGAACAGAGCATAGCAGAGCCTAATAGCTTCTGCTACTGCTATTATCACAGTTCTCCAAACCCGTGTTGCATCGAGATCCGCCACTAGAAAATTATATATGTAACACTCACAAGAGAGGATCATAAAAAAATGTCATTTAAAGTGATAGAAGTCTTACTGATGTTCTTTTGTCGCAAGAATGATAATGGCACGCGCCTTATTAGCTGCTCTTTCAAATGATTTTGTCAAAGTAAGGCTACAACTGCACAAGTAGAACCGATGTTATTTAATCTCACATTTTACTCAATTCAGGTTATATCTTCAGCTCGATAAAAAAAGATAGGTCCTAATAGTTTCTGCACATTTCTCCAGATGCCCGTAATTTTCAACATAAGCACTCTCTACTAAAGTATATCACAAACAATTATCAAGGGATGGTCTATCACAAACAGGGATTCTAAACTAACCGAGATTTTTATGAAGATAAAAAAGTATTTGACACATATCCGAAGAAAAGTATGGGGCTAGGATCTTTCAAGAACTCTCCAAATACATGAAAATCATGAGAAAGAAAATGAATATAGCAGTGTCAAACACATACTAGTGAGCGGGACTCAACCGAGAGACCAAGCAATTTAGCTATTACTTTCATTTATTGGCGTTGGAAATGTTATAAGAGGGAAATCTAGATGGAATTTGAAAATTAGGGGGAAAGTGGACATTTTTCGTATACCTCTTTGAAAGGATATCAATATGTTTAAGATCCTTGGCAATATTTTCTGCCAGCTTGTCTATTTGCTTCCTCGGAAGATCAGACATGAGAAGAATTCTTTGCCTCCTACGAGAGCAAAATACAGGTAGAAACTGATAATTACGCATGCAAGAAAAATAAACAGAAAACAAAAGTTGTAGCCTACATTGCTTCGGCTCTTCATTTCTATTAAAGAGTATCGGAAATAATCTTCCAAGGGCTCTTCAAATATAAAGAAAATTTATAAAAAAATTAAATACTCTTTCTGAACATATATTGTATATGACATTCGCACTTGAGTCCAAGTTACATAGGTGGCAGCATAACAGTTTACCTGGCTGAAGCAGTGCCTAAACGAACGGAAAATTCATGATAATTATTTAGCTGCTGTAGTATGAAAGCAAGGCGACTATTTGCACCACAAATGATGATATGATCACTCTCTAAAACTTGCATTTGTGCACCTTCCCGGATTTTTTGCATGTTGTTCTGTCACCCGAATCAAAAGTCACATGTATCGAAGGTAGCTCAAATAAATAATGAGCATTGGAAAGAAAGAGAGGGTAAATTTGCTATAGAAAAAATGCTTACTCGGAATTGTTCTGTCATTGTGCTTAATAACCGAGAGTAAAATAATATGCCCCATAAAGCAAGAACGAAGCCAATAACACGTTCTACACGTGTTGCTTGCTGCAGCTCAACATTAATAAGTTTTCCAAATTCGATTTTTAATCAAACAAGCAATACAAATACGATCATATCTTAAAGCAACCAATGATTAGATACATAACTGACCACATACTTTTAAATGGGTTGACGATGAAATCAGGCATGCCCACGCCTCCAGCAGCAATCCTCAAGAGATCGTGTAGTTTTCCTGTGTTATTCAAGGCATTAACTACTGAATTAGCAAACAAAACTACCACTATAGCTATTTTTCCATGATAGCTATTTCTCCTATATAAGATGGCATTTACAGCTAACAAGCTACAGTTATATATAAACTAATATTCGAATAATCAAGACTAATTGTACATTACCTAAACTTGAAGAAGAGCAAACCACCGATAATAACAAATGAGAAGCATGCTAGAAGGAGAGCCACAAGAAACCTGCAAAATGTAAGAAATAAGTGAATCAGTCAATTAAAAACATAAATTCAAAACTGTAAGTCCATACAGATCAAGACGGGAAGTAAAGCTATGTTGTTTCTATTCTTCATATTTCTTGAAGTGCCCAAGTCCAACATCCATGTCGGATACATCCAGACATGGATGAATATAACCCTCTAAAAACTCCAAATACATGCAAAACATATAAAATTGAATATATCCGTGTTGGATGCATATCAATCCAAGTTCAAGATTGGAAGCTTCACATAATTTATTACTATTCAGTCAATATCAGCTTCGTAACATACTCCATTTGTTACTATTCAGTTATAATTAATAACCAAACATCATACAGAAAGCTTAAATTGACAGGTTCGAGGAAAATCGTTACTGTGTCACATAACACAATGTCCCCAGTGTTGAAAAAGTGGAACATATGCGTCTCAAACACGTGTCTGTGTCCATCAATCACACCTGAATTCAAGTAATAGCTAAGGAGGGCCACCTACACATGACCTATGTCCAAATAATGTAGCATAAAACGATCATTCTAATTGTTGAACAGACAGTTTGGCACACCATCAGATTTTTATCATAGAAATTGACTGTTAGAAACAACAGAAAGCACCAAGAATATAACTCAAACCCGAAAAAGATCTAGGATTATAAGTTTAACTTACGTCGCAATATTTTTCTCCAGTTGAACGTTAAATAAATAGTTTAACCGAGAGAAGTTCCATTTAATATCTTGAATCGAAGGCAAGGCGACGTTCAAGCTAAGAGGTGTTGGTTTGTTCAAGGAATTAGATATGCAGGCAAGGGGTAAGCTTCTAGCCGCCAAAGTTCGAAGTAGATGAGGAAATAAGTCTGGACCATCTTTATTAATGTGTTGGCAAATCTAACTGCATTAGTCTCAGTAAGAAAAATGCCGAGAAAGCCCCACTGATCCGTTTAGCTTGATGACCCTGAAGCAGCAGTGAGAAAATCAAGAAATTAGGCCATTAAAAGCTGTAAATCATGGTTATACATCCAAGAATTGAAACCGAATGAGAAAGCAGCAAGTTTCTACAAGACAAACTAACGGTAATGTAGAAAAACAGGCACAAAGAGTGGACATCTCATTCTTACGTCCAGTCAATAAGCGGATAAAAATTGAGGTGCAAATTGTTATTAGTGCAACCTTCTACTAAAGTGACAGCATCCAATTAGAACTAATTTCAAGCATCACCAAATAATTCTGTAAATAGCAAGATTGCAATATAAGAAGTCTGGATCATTGTAATAACGATGACAAAAGACTTCTCATTATTCATTTTACCTAAAAGTATTCAGTAAATGAACAGTGGCTAGCTTCCACTACAAATACAGCAGCCGCAAGAAAAAGCTAATTTGACTGTCATTGAATAATTACTTAAAGAGCAAGATTACATTAAGAAGTATGGAAGATTGTGATCAACAATGTCAACGGACAAAATGTTAATTTCCGTAAGTAATTCCGTAAATGAACAGTCACAAGTGCAAGCTTCCACTAATGACAAAAGCCAAATGAACCAAGGTAATTTTGACCATGACCGAATAATTCAGTAACAGTATTGAATGATTGTAAGATGCATGGAATATTGTAATAAACAGTGTCAATTCACTTCAATATTCATATTCCGTAAACTGTCTGCATATCACAATGACAGAAGCCAATGAAAAAGTTAATTTCTCAAGTCACCAAATAATTCGTTAAGTAGCAAGACTGCAATATTGGATGAAGTCCAGAATATTGCAAGTCAACAGACTTGATATTCTTTTTCTAATGAAGAAAAAGATCTTCTCTGACATGCATAATTCACTGCCTTTGGTTCTCTCTATTTATATCCATATCCAACAAGAATTATTCCTATTCCTTTTTGTGCTTTCACCTATGTAAATGTTGCTTCAACTCGTCATTTGCTCGTCATTTTTTCTATTTAAGCTCATTTCTTTACCTAATAAAAGACAGAAACAGTTTTTGAATATAGTCTTAAATCTTTTATGGCATCTGAGCTAGGTTAAATCTCCAGTAACACCATGGTTAAAACATCCTTCATGGGAGATAAGAGATCCAGAACCAAACTGAGGTAGAAAGCACAAACTTCAGAAAAATATTTCTTCACAAGAGGAAAGGCGCCGCTGTAAAAATGAAGCTTCCGCAAGGCATTGGCATCATTTCAGTATAGAATGAAGCAGACTACATGAGATTTTATCTGAACCTCCTTCCAACTACTTTCTTCTAAAAGCCAATATAAGATGCAGTTTAAAAACAAACCCGATAAATGCAATCGTAGAGATATTTAAGATCCGTCTTAGTCTCTTCATATCAATAACGATGTCATGAGCTCTGCCTAACCACTTTATCTAAGAAACAGTACAAGACATGATACAGAAACAAACTAGGTAACCAACCCGATAAATGCAATGGTTTCCGTATTTAAAATCTATGCCGTTAATCTCTCTTGCAGTAATAATGATATATATGTTGTGACTGCATATTACAGTCATAACAGGCAAACAATCAAGGGCAGATGCATACATCATTCGAAATGAAAACTATCAATATAGAAGATGTTCAAAGAACAGAAAAAGTAAAGAAAATATATAATAAATCTAGGTCCATGTAACAAATTGAAAAAGTGTACGCGTTTATAACATCAAAAAGCATATTATTAACACTTCCAAAATCAGAGATTTAAGCCTTACCGAGAACAATTCTGTAGGTCCATCCTAAAGAATTTGACATTTGGGTTATTTGAAATGCTGTCCGACTTATCAGTTTTTTGGACAAGAACTTTCTGTTTTCCTGTAGAAGGAAAGGTATCATATTCTTATGAAATATGAAAAAACTATTTTCAAAAAACCAACTTTTTGAAGGAATCAACACACTTAGCCAATCGCATACATATAAACTAGAAAATACAACTGGAAGTGTAACTACAAGCCCGTAAAACACAAGCTTATCGAACATTGACGAGCTAGGATTAGCTTGCACAATTACAAACGGACAACAATGAGTAGTTATGTTATGCAGACTCATTTTACGTTGCAATCTGAAATTTTAAATTTAAATATTACCCATGTGATGGAAAAATTCAGCAGTGATCAAAACAGTAAGAGTTCCACATTTAACATCAAAAGATAAAGACCAGATATAGCTTTCGATTTGACAAGCTCATAATGCAGATGACTCGGACTCACCTCTGTTGTGCATAAAGTTACACATGTTAGATGAAGAATTGTGCAACCAAAAGAAGCACAGTTCTGATCTCCGGAAAAATATCATATTCTTCGAGCCTCTAATGCCGTGTATTCTACAACAAAATTCAGAAGGCAACTACATAAATGGAAAAGAAAAGGCAATTCTTCATATATAATTATTTGATTGCTTGAGCAAAAGACAAGGGAGAAAAAACCAATTTTGTCTATTTGAAACGGATTAACCACATATCGCTACTTGCAGAACTGGCTGGCATTGGCACACTAGCTACAAAAACTAGTTAACCCAGTTTTTAGCTTTACAAAGTGCAACAAAAAATACTGATTAGTGCAAAAAACTCGCTGTTACTCGGACCCAAATGTGAGTGCCGAATACAGATATGTGTCCAACATAGATTTATTTAATTTATAAAATTTTCCATGTATATGGAGGGTCCTTTAAGAGTCATATCCAGATTCATGTGGTCACTTGTACTTCATGAAAATTAAAGAGGTCGATCATCATAGAACTTGTTTTATATTTGGGGCTAACTATCATACATTGTCTAAGGCGGTATATGTACTTTAAAATATGTGCTTTGGCATCCATAAATCATTCCAATTCTGCCAAGG